AATTATCTTAAAAATTCAAACATGAATAATTCTCACTGAAAGGACAAGTGACAAGTCACTTTGTGCCGATCGTGCGAAACAAATCACTCGTCCTAATTCTAAAAGGAATGCCAACGAAATCCAGTCTCACTTTACTCTGCAGAAATCTCTTAGATTCCAAAGGATCATCTTTTTTTTTTGAGGATAATGGAATGGTTTCATTACAAAGACCGCCATATGACATCTACAAAGATAACAAATAGTAAAAACAACTGGAACAAAAGATCAGAGTAGACCCATATCCAAAGACTGAAGGGAGGTGCACTCAGCACTCGAACAACCACGAACGACCTCGGAAATACCACGGCCTTCGGTCGATCGATTCATACGAGACACCCTTCTATCAACCCTTGAAGAAATAGCACCAGGCTCCAGGATGCCGGGCGGTCACCCGATCTGGCGGCGGAAGTCCCTCGGAGCCAGCAGGAGAGCTGCGGTGGGCGTCAGATCTGGTAGCCCACGCGCGCGCCACCTCAAATCCGCCGAAGGAGAAAGAAGGCCGCCGGATCTGCACCAACAGAACAAAAGAAAAAACCAACGAGCCCCTACCAAGATCAACAGGAAAGAACCGAGGGTCGCCGGATCTGAAAAAACAAACTGTACAAGAACATAAAACAAAACAAAACAACCAGAAAACAAAAAACCAAAAGGGGTCACCGGAAAGGGACCCAGAAATGACAGACCCCGAAGGGTCATTGGAGGAGGGAGCAGAAACCAGCTCCAGCATGCTTCAGCGGCCGGAGAGCCCAGCGGCTCAAGCATCAAAACCTCGGAAGCTCAAAGGCTTCCGATCAAAACAAACGCAACGCCGGAGAAGGAAGGCAGAAGCAAGAGAGAAGGGAAAGAAAAGGGGAAAGAAGAGCGCTTCCTTTTTTCCAAAGGATCATCTTGTTTTTTCTTTTCACTCACGTCCATTAAAAAGGTAAAATTCCCAAATTCACATTTACACATGTTCTTTGAAAAAAAAAAATACATGAATAAATAATTTTTTAAATTATAAATTAAGATAATTTATTTATTTTTTATCATATAATATTAAAATTTTATTTATCACATAAATATTTTTAATAAAAAATTGATATCATATATTAAAAATAAATAATTTATTTTTATATTTTTTTAAAGTAAATTTATCTTTACCCATATTTGATGATGGATTTAAAGGTTATATCCACTAAAAATACTCTTATAATTTGTAAATGTACAAAAAAAATAATTTGATAAGAGTTTACTTTTTAACGCTTTAAAATGTTTTAAATGGAAAAATAAAAATTTTAGGATGAAATAAGAACTTTTAATATTAAGAGTTTTTTTAAGTGTAAAAATTAATATTTTACAATTTAAAATTTTTTATTT